GTTAATCTTGAAAATGTGAGATATATGGCACCCGAAAAGTTGGAACACGGTGATAAAAAACGATATAATGTTAAATGTGAAATTTATAGGTACGTACCAAAACATCAAAAAATGTTATCAAATTTAGTAATTATATATTATATATTTGTTTTAATTAGATTAAACGTCAATTTAAATTAAATATTTTAGCTTGGGAGCTCTTTTATGGGAAATTGCTGAAGAAGAGATACCTTATACAAGATTAAAAATAGATTTACAGACTATTCGAGATAAGGTTGTTAAAGATAAATATCGTGAACCATTTTCTTCAAATGTACCTAAAGTTTGGCAAGACATTGCATATGCAGGTACTATTATTATTATTATTATTATTATTATTATTATTATTATTATTAAATTTAAATAAAATTAATTTTTAAAAACATAATTATTTATTATACTAATTTTTTATTTATATTTAAAGCTCTAGCTCAAAATCCAGATTTCCGTCCAACTATTGCTAAAATATTCACAGTCCTTTATGATTATCATCACAGATATGAACAAAAAGAAATCCAATATATGGGAGATGAATTTGAAGATGCTTTTATAATTGATGATAATAGTATAATGAATGTAGATCAAGCAATTGAAGAACATCGAAAATCAGACGGAAATAAGCAAAAAGCATGGGATAGCTTTAAGTTCCACGCAGAACAGGGTGACATAATTGCCAAATACTGGGTTGGTTATTATCTATATCATTCCATACTTCCTGAGCACGAAGAAAATCGTCAAGAAAATCTTGAACGAGCGACGCCATTGTTTAAAGAAGCTGCTGACAATGGTAAAGTTGAAGCTCAACTCCGATATGGATTCTGTTTGTGGCAGGGCGACGGTGTTAAAATTAATTGGGGTGAGGCTATGAGATACTTAAAAATGGCAGCTGATAATGGAAATCCTACAGCTATGTATAATGTTGGAAGTGCTTACTGGATTGGAAAAGGAATAATAAAAGATCAAGAAATTGGTTCCAAGTATTTGAAAATGGCTGCTAAGAAGGATCAACCTAATGCTATTGCTATATGCAAAAAACTTGGTATCTCTTTTTAAGTATGTATACAATATTGGGCAAAAACTGTCGAATAACGGTAATTTGGCAAATGAGCACGTGCCGCAAAGCGGCACGTGTAGCCAATCATTTGTCAAATTACTGTGTTATCCGGTAATTTATGATCATGATTGGTATTTAATTTTGAATATTGGAATAAACATAATTACATCGTAACAAATGAAAAAAAATAACAAAAAGAAATTTTTTCATGATCATGAGTTTGCCGGATAAATTACCTTATTAGAACATTATAAAATAGTCAAATAATCGGTGATTTTCGATACTATATACAGTACGAATTGTGAATGGTATTAATATTTAACACCACAAAAATCATAATATATATATATAATATGGACATAATCGTGCATCACCGTTATATATTTTAGAAACTTCGTTTTATTCTTACTCATTATATACTAAGTAATCATTACAAAAAATCT